GGGTTCAATTCCAGACCTGAAGGGCAGCTAGGGGCCATAGTCTCAGTGGTTCCACCAGGCTCTATCGGACCAGCAAACCTGGTCCCCCCCCCCTTCTCCAAATGATTTTGAGTTTTGTTCCACATTGTTCTGCCTCTCTATCCAGGATCTCTCCTCCATAGATCCCCCTCCGAGTGGTTGACAGTGGTAGCTGGGCACCATCTAGTTCTTCTGGTATCATAGTCATATAGGCTGCAGATCGCATGGTGTACCAGTTGCTAGGACTAATTGTTTCCATGAATCTTTGGTTTTTTTCATTCTTCTTTGCTCTGGATGTGGAGACATCCATCATTGCATCTACATGGCCGCTTGCAAGCTTTTAAGATCCCAGTCACTACTCACCAAAGTAGGAGGTGTAAGAATGTTTTGTGTAGTATGTTATGCCAATTGAATTTATGTCCCCTGTGACTATGGTCCCAAGCCCACAGGTTCAACTACTCGGTTCCTCTGGGTAGGTGGCTGTGACCAAGAAGTGACTACAATCTTGTCCCTTGTCAGCTCTACTATACACCTGGGAATTCAGATCATACAAATACACTTATAGGACCATTGTCTGCCAACCCTATACATGGTCTTGAGTACACTCCCCACTTCATAGACATACCTAATAGTTCAGCCTGTCCACCCATCTATCCACCCGTATACTCATGCTTGCCTTCACTAACAACACAGTACTGTATGTGCAAAAGGGTTCATCTTTGTTGTCTGTACCTCTCATGGGCATATGTTTTAAATGTGCATGACATATTTCATTCCAATTTGCACTTTTCTTACTCAGCACTAGGTTTTGAAATCTAGTCATATTACCATGGGCACATTTGAACACACCACACACATATTTTACCTATCCATTTTCCTAGTAATGGACATTGGATTGCCCCCAACTCCCCATCTTTGTGAATGATACTGCAATCAGCACCGTGCCCACTGTGTGAGACCCTGTGTGCTGGGCAACAGGAATGCACTTATTGGGCACTGGACATGCAATATACTTAATTTGCCTAAGCAGTGGCAGATTGCTCTCCACAATAGCTTCACAGGCCACACTCCCTCAGGGTCTTTGTACTTGCTGTTCCTTCAATTTGGAACAATTATCCCCCAGGCTCTTGAAAGGACTCTCTCCTGCTCATCAGTGAGATCTCTCAGCTCATGATCACTGTCTCAGAGGGGCCTTTAATCTTGCAATTATTCTAACAATGCACCCTTCCCAGGTTTTGTTTGTTTGTTGCAAGTTGATTCTGATTCATGGAGATCCCATATGTGCAGTGTACTATGTCATTTTTATTTGTTTGTTAAATCATAGCACTTTTCACAATTTTAAATTATTTGTATTTAATTATTTACTAAGTCCTCCAAAGGATAGGGAGGCCTGTCCTTATTCACTAGATATCTAGCATAGCCCTATGGTAGGCTATTAACAAAAATTATTAAATAAATGAATGCAATGATAATTATAAATAAATAAACAGTACTATAATACCGGTGGAGACCCTGAGTAACGCAAACATTAAGTGCTCACTACTAGCCGAAAGGTTGGCAGTTCAAACCCACTAAGAGGTACCTTGGGAGCTCTGGTACCATAGTGCCTAAGGCACTTGACTACTAACCAGAAGGCTGGCGGTTCAAACCCACCAGCCACTACTCGGAAGGAAGGTTGGGCAATCTACTTCCGTAGTGATACTGCCTCGGAAACCCAAGGAGGGGTCGTTATGAGTCAGGGCTGACTCAGTGGCAAACAACAACAACAAGAGGTACCTTGTGAGACAAGCCTAGTAATCTGCTTCCCAAAGTTCATAACTTTCAAAACCCTTCGGAGCATTTTCATTCTGCACACATCGGGTCGCAATGAGTCAGAATCAACTGGATGGCAACTAACAACAACAACAAAATTTTTTCAATCCGTTCCAAATTGTATGGTTAGGAAACTGGCAACGTAACAGATCAGAGAAGTAGGAAGGGCTTTTCAAATGGGATTGAAAGGGCAGATTGGAGGCGCTGGCCAACAGGCCTACCTGGACTCAGTTCAATTTCACCCTATTTTCACATTTCCAAGGAAGCACCTGTCGCCTGGCTGGCTGGTACAAACCCCAGTTTACCTACAGGGGGCACCCAGCCGCAATCTGGTGAGAATGAAAACTACATTTCCCAGCATCCCTCGCGCCGCCGACTGTCGACCCACGTGGAGCCCGTGAACGAAATGGCGGCGTCCCAGGAACGCGATTCTTCGACTGAAGCGTCCCAGCCGGCAGTGGAGGAGGAGGAAGAAGCTAAAACATTTAAAGACCTGGTGAGAATGGATGACTCTGGCTTCTGTTTGTACCGCCGGCCTCAGGTACAGGCAGTCTTCTTGCCTGAGATCCCGGCAGGTGGTGTGCAAAAGCAGTCGGGGCCTAATGTAGGCTTTCCCTGGAATTTCTGGAGCAAAGTTCCTTAGTCTCTGAGTTTGGGTATTGGGAGGGCTGCCAGGCTCTGAGGGTCCCCATTTGCCACTTAATTTTGGCAACGTTTGTGTTTCTCCAGAAGTTTTTACATGTGGCAAATCAATCTTTTGATAGCTTCGGTTTTGGAGTCAGATTAGTTAGGCTTGAATTCTGATAATCACTTACTGTTGTTGTTGTTGTTGTTGTTGTTAAGTGCCTTCGAGTCGGACCCGAATCACTTACTAGAGGCTAGTTAACGGTACCTCTGTGCCTCAATTTCCACAGCTGCAAGTTGGGGATAATTATAAGTACTCACAAAATTGTTGTGAGAATTAAGTGACATCGCACATGTAAAACTTTTGGCATTGCCCCTGGTGAGTACAAGGTATTGGGTAAGTCATGAGCCACTGTTTCATAGTATTCCTAGTTACAGAGCAGGCTCTGAGTAGGTGCGCAATAAATTTCTTTTGAATCAAAGTGAGGGATGTACGGGCCACCAGCAGGATGACTGTCATTTAAGTAGGAGAGAGAGGTGTGTATGGGGAGATGCTGTTCTTTGCTAAGTTGTGTTTTTCTGAATTTTAAGGGTGTGACAGATGTGTTGTGTGAAGCCTGTGATCAGTTGGGATGGAAGAAGCCCACCAAGATCCAGATTGAAGCTATTCCTTTGGCATTACAAGGTGGGCTGAAACTAAATATGTGGCTTGGTACAAGTTCAGCATAAAGTTATTCTTAATTAAATACTTAACATTTTTTAGATCTATTGCTTGCATCCACCACTTGTCTGTAAGTTTGTTGTACTGTGGTAGCTTAATTGCTTGCATAATTCAAGTGAAGTAAAAATATATATAAGTTTGTGGCGTATTGACTTTTGAAAAAAAATTAGTGTTTCTTCAATTTCTTTGAGCTTACTTCCTGTCTTTCTGACTGAAGGAATTTGTTTTGTCACAGATACCAATTTTAAGGAAGTATCGGATTAAGGGCAATCTACTTCCATAGTGATACTGCCTCGGAAACCCAAGGAGGGGTCCCAAGGAGGGGTCGCTGTGAGTCGGGTCTGACTCGATGGCACATAACAACAACAACAAAACAAGAAATTTATTAGAGATGATCAATAAGTGTAGATTTACATAAAGGTGCCTGGAACATATAAGTGTCTAGAGCTGTTGAGAGGTCTTGCTGTCAAGCAACTGTGTCACCTTTGCAGAAGAATGGTTAAAGGGCTGGTTGATAGCTTTGTTGTTATGTGCCATCAAGTTGGAGCCTACTCATAGTGACCCCTCCTTGGGTTTCTGAGGCAGTATCACTATGGAAGTAGATTGTCCAACCTTCCTTCCAAGGAGTGGCTGGTGGGTTTGAACCACCAGCCTTCTCGTTAGCAGTCAAGCGTCTTAGGCGCTATGCTACCAGAGCTCCTAAAGCTAGTGGGACTGAAAATAACAGGTTGAAGTTTACTAGGAGTAGAGGTAAAATCTTGAGGCCTAGTTGTTGTTGTTGTTATGTGGCTCAAGTCGGACCCGACTCATAGCGACCCCTCCTCGGGTTGTCGAGGCAGTATCACTACGGAAGTAGATTGCCCAACCTTCCTTCCGAGGAGTGGCCGGTGGGTGTGAACCACCAGCCTTCTGGTTAGTAGTCAAGTGCCTTAGGCACTACGCTACCAGAGCTCCTTGAGGCCTAGTAGAAGATGAAAATCATGGGAATACAGTTTTACACAAATTAAGGAAGGGAAAGTCTTTCAAGGAGGGAATACTAAACATTTTCAACTCATGTGGAGAACTAAGGAGGATAAGGACTGTTGTATAAAGGCCATTGGTAGGAAAGAAGTATCAGCAGTACTAGGGTTGCTTTCAAATAGTGAAAAAATTTCAGAGCATTTTATTTTTCCCTACTTGTCCTACAGCCGAGGTCACAAAAGGAATCAACATTAGGTATTGGTAATAATTCTAAAATTATTCCACTATTTTCAGTCTAAAGTTAATATTTGTAACAGGGGAAAATAGTATTTGATGTGGAGAGAAAATTCATTCTGATGAACAGTTTGCAGATGCTTCCTTTGAAACTATAGATTCTGGACTTAAGCACATGTTTCAGATAATGTAACAAAAGTTTTTTGCTTGCTTCTATTAATTAACTTTTACATTTTGAGTACTAATGAGAGTCTCAGTTTCTGCGAAGCTCTTGAGTCCTGGACATGTCTATTCTTAAATATAACAAATCTGAAAGTTAGCAGTTCTTATTTTCTTGGTGAGAAGAAGTAACCTGACCAGTCACATAAGTAATTATTGCTAGACCTAGAATTTGAATATAGACTTTCCTAGTTAAGAAACCTGTATTCTTGGCCCTTTATCGCACATGTTACCATGGAGAGGTCAAAATCTCTTAATGGTTTTGGAGGATGATTTCCTTCCCATCTGTTCCATTGTACTAAGTTTATGTCAATTTCAGAGATCTCTCCGAGTCCTTTAGGAGTTTTAAGTTTATTGAATAGCTGTCTCATACCAAGCACTTGTGTTAGGTGCTGGCAGTGTGGCAGGTGAATATGACAAAATGTATTGTGCTGTTGTGGAGCTTATGTGTTCTAGTGGATTCCACACAGATACTAACATTGAAAAGATTTAGGGGTTTTGAGAAGAAGAAAGGAGATGATTTAGAAAAATTTATCAGTTCCATAAACTGTGAAGGTTGCTCTGTGGGGAATCATTAAAAAAAAGAAAAAAAAAAAAAAAACACCCAAAAAGGAACAACTGAAAGCAGTGTAAATTTCAGCTGTTGGCAGTGAGCAACTTAAGCTCCTTTACTTTCTGACCCCTTAATTCATCAAATAGTTATTCATTGTCATCTTTGTATCCAAGGAGCTCTAGTGGCGATGTGATTAAAGTATTGGACTACTAAGCAAAAGATTGATGGTTCGAAACCTACTCGCTGTTCTGTGGGAGAAAGATGAGGCAGTCTGCTCCTGTCCAGATTTATAGCCTTGGAAACCCTCTGGGGCAGTTGTACTCTGTTTTATAGGGTCTCTATGAGTTGGAATTGCCTTGATGGTGGTGGTGAGTCTTTGTGCCCAGCATTGTGTCATGGTAGAAAATGTGGAAATAATGGGAGAGGATTTCTTTGGCATTAGGTATTTTCTTTTTCTTTTAGGTCAAGATATCATTGGGCTGGCAGAAACGGGCTCTGGGAAAACCGGGGCCTTTGCTTTGCCCATTTTGAATGCTCTGCTGGAGACGCCCCAGCGTTTGTTTGCCCTAGTTCTCACCCCTACTCGGGAGTTGGCCTTTCAGATCTCAGAACAATTTGAAGCCTTGGGGTCCTCTATTGGAGTACAAAGTGGTAAGTGTCTGGGAGGAAAGGAATCTTAGAGAGTGGAAGAATTAGGATAAGTTCTTGGATCTGAAGAGCTGATTTTAGCTTTGGGGATAGTTTTAGTTCTAAAGGAAGAATAAATTTCAAATGGAGATCTAGCATTGGCTTTAAAAGATGCTTAAGGGACAGGGGAAAAAAGTTAAGGATCTCTTTTTTATGTTGTTTTTATTTCTGTAGCCGTGATTGTAGGTGGAATTGATTCAATGTCCCAATCTCTGGCCCTGGCGAAAAAACCACATATAGTGATAGGTGAGTAATTGATAAAGGTAAGACATGCTGGCAATGATGAATTGGAGAAAAATCTATCAATGTTGGGTACAATGTATTTGTGTGGAAAGACTTTGAGGAACAGTTTTTTGTTAACTGCCTCAATTTTTAAATGGAGTAAGTAACCTTATTTCTTTTTGTTCTTGTTCTTAAACATTGCCTTTTCTCCAAAATCTTTCTGTGTAGCAACTCCTGGTCGACTGATTGACCATTTGGAAAATACAAAAGGTTTTAACTTAAGAGCTCTCAAATATTTGGTTATGGATGAAGCAGACCGAATATTGAACATGGATTTTGAGACAGAGGTGAGCTCTTAATTTCTTTCCTCTTCTTCGAGCATTGCAAATGTCTTGTTTCATAATTTGGTTCATTGCACACCTCTGTTCTGTGGAGCCCTGCATTAGTATCAGGTACTTTAAACATCCCTGATGCGTTTTCTTATCTTGATGCCCTTTAGCATTGCCAGCGCATCTGTAGAACATAGTCTGACAGAACTCACACACTTCAGAGATGAGAAGTATCATGATCAGATTTTCTTTTCCATGTAATTTGATTTAAAACTCTTCAAGGCATTTTTTTTTTTTTTTTAATTGTGATTTGGGTGAAGATTTACAGAGCAAATTCACTTTCCATACAGCAGTTCACGTACGCTTTGTCTCATGACATTGACCACAGTTTACCACAGCTCCCCTCTCTTCAATGCATTTTGAAATATCTTTATGTTCTTCAGTCACCAGTTGTTATAGCCCAAATATCATTAGTTGAATGATACTTATTCTGCCTTTTTTCTTAGATTAGCTCTATTCTACTAATTCAAATGATTCATTTCTCTGATGGGCTTTTTTTTTGGATAGCATCTGGTATGCTATCAAATAGTATATAGTAATCTACTATAGTATATAGTTGAATTGAATTGAATTTTTGAATGCTTGAGTTCCCACAGTGATGTATTTAATTCATAATTCTGTATCTCTTTCACTGTCTGTAGGAATTGCACGTGTCCAGTCTAAATGTTTATCTTAGGATTCTTTTCCTTTTTTTGTAACTTAGGTTGATAAGATCCTCAAAGTGATTCCTCGAGACAGAAAAACATTTCTCTTCTCTGCTACCATGACCAAGAAGGTAAAAGTTGCTGAGATTTCTGTTTTCTTCTTTATAAGAGTTGATAAGTAACAACAACAAATAACAATAACTACAGTGATAAATAAAACTAGAAAGAATATTTAGGAATTAGTGTACTATTCTAGATTTTTTTCTTCAGGTACAAAAACTTCAGCGAGCAGCTCTAAAGAATCCTGTGAAATGTGCAGTTTCCTCTAAATACCAGACAGTTGAGAAATTACAGCAGTATTATCTTTTTATTCCCTCTAAATTCAAGGTAAAGTATTTACTTTGCCCATGCCTGCCTTTCCCTCTCCTTCCTCGCTGGAGCTAAGGGCTGTGGTACAGACTGGAGTCTTTTCTGTTTGCTTTAGAATGCGTGTTGTGCTTAGGCTTATTACTGATAAGCCAAACATTCTGGGAATTTACAATATATTAAATTGCAGTAAGGAAGTCATGATGTAATGATATAATTCCTCTCCAACCCCATCCTTGAGATAATTTTTCTTTTGTTTGATTGTTAGGAGGCCTACAGCTTTCTCTTAGGAAGGGAACTTTAGTTTTGTGTTTTGGTTTAAAGACGTTTCCTGGTGGCTGAGTACAGATCTTATGGTTGGCGTTAGGCTCTATGTGGAATGCATGATTCACAGAGATGGTAATGCTGGTTAAGAGATGTAGAGCTGGCAGCTAAGGCTCAAGATAACCAAGGATCAACTATAGGCTTTGTCTTTTATGTAGTTTATATCCCTAGGTCTCTAACCCTTTCTTCCAGATTCAATTACATATACCATTTTGGATTTGTAATTTAGGATACCTACCTGGTTTATATTCTGAATGAATTGGCTGGAAACTCCTTTATGATATTCTGCAGCACCTGTAACAATACTCAGAGAACAGCTTTGCTACTCCGAAATCTTGGATTCACTGCCATCCCCCTCCATGGACAAATGAGCCAGGTGAGGGTTCTTTGGCCTTACTAGCTGTGAACCAAGGAGCTCTGGTAGCGTAGTGCCAAAGGCACTTGACTGCTAACCAGAAGGCTGGCGGTTCAAACCCACCAGCCACTCCTTGGAAGGAAGGTTGGGCAATCTACTTCCGTAGTGATACCGCCTTTGAAACCCAAGGAGGGGTCGCTATGAGTCAGGTCCGACTCAGCGGCACATAACAACAACAACAGCTGTGAACCAGTGGCATGAGAAAGAGAAACTTTAAAGTAGTTGATTTGCATAGTAAGGACACATGGCATTAATGCCTGTTTCTGTAAATGTTCTCATTTTATGGGCTTTGAAGTGTTGGTCTGGGTAAATGGGTGCTTACTTTCCCCTTTCAGGATAGCAAGAAATTAAATCATTCCACAGGTAATTATCTGCTTTGTGAGCTGTTGAATTGATTTATTCAGCCTTAGGGTAACGGTGATTCTTTGGTCTCTAAAGAATTTAATAAGTTATTTCCCATTTATTTCTAGCACGTTACACAATCCTTATTTTACATTACTATTTTCTAGCCTTAGTGTTAAATATTTTTGTTGTTTCCATGTTTTTGTTTGACCCATGACACCCTAGTCTGCACTTAGTGGGGAAGGAAAAAATCTATTAAAAAAATTTCAGTCTCTTGGTTCTTGCGTTTAGTTGTTTATTTTGTATAGCACAGTCCTAGATACTAAGATTCCTTAGTCTTCCAAGATTAAAATTCTTCTGATTGCTTCTTTTTTTTCTTTTAATTGTTGTAATCATTTTTTCTTTGTCACATTAGACAAAGCGCCTGGGATCCCTTAACAAATTCAAGGCGAAAGCTCGTTCCATTCTTCTAGCAACTGATGTTGCAAGCCGAGGTTTAGATATTCCTCACGTAGATGTGGTAGTCAACTTTGACATTCCTACCCATTCCAAGGTGAGTCCTGCTGCTAACTTGACTTTCTGTTCCCAAAGCATATTCTTAATGGAATGTTTTCTGTCTGTCTTTAGTTAAAGCATAGTTTTTTGTTGTTCTTGTTCTTGATTAATTAAGTATCAAAAAATGGAACAGCTTTTAATTTATCCATCCCCATCATTTTGTACATGGCTGTGTTAATGTAACATTAATAACTGTGAATGTAGGTGGCCAAGAAGAATTGTGTGTTCATAGTAGGAAGGGCAGTTGCAGCTTATACTTATCTTTGTCATTTTCATTTCTTCAGAAATGACAGTTTATGGTGTATCTTAGGGTTTCTCAACTTCCAACACTGTTGACATTTTGGGCTGGAAGATTACTTGTTGTGGGATCTGTCCTGTGGGTTCTAGGATGTTTAGTAACATCCTTGGCCAGTATCCACTAGATGACAGTATCACCCCCTGTTCCTTCTCCCAGTTATGACAAGAAATGTCCCCAGACATTGCCTGTGTCTCCTTTTTAGTTGCTGATGAGTTGAATCTGAATTACTCTCAGTTGACAACAACTGGTATATCTCTTGGCTTTGTATTTCACTATTGTAGACAAGGAGCTGCTGTCTCATTTGATTTTCATAACAGCTTTGTGAGTTTGGATATCCTGGTTTTATAGAGAGATAGCAAGGTTCAGAGAGCCCATGTAACTTGCAGACATTCTTGTAGCTATAGATGGTAAAACCAGAGCTGTGACCCAGGTCTACCACTAGATTCAGTGCTCTTTTTCTCCATACATGTTGCTTCTAACCATGTAGCTATATATAGAGATTTGTCTTTCCATAAAAGAAAGGAAAAAATCAGGTGAATTTTGTGCTCTGAGGAGAATAAAAAAGAAATAGATACAGCTCAACAAATGGCCCACTTGTTTTCCCCATGTTCTGCATGAATCACTTTTATTTCAGAAGTTTGCAGTAAGACTTTACATACATTTTTTTTAGGTGTTTTCTGTATAAATCAAATTTGTGTGCCCTTTTTGTTTTAGGATTACATCCATCGAGTAGGTAGAACAGCTCGAGCTGGGCGCTCTGGAAAGTCTATCACGTTTGTCACACAGTAAGTAAGTCAACTGTAGGGGCAAACAGATACAGAGAAAAGAGAGTGAAACTTTGGAGCCAGACTGACTTTGAACCTTTTCTAACATTTACTGTACTACTCACTTAACCTCTCTGATGTCTGTTTTTTTAATTTGTAAAATAGAAATAATAATACCCACCTCTCAGGATGTTCATGAAGGTTAGAGATAATATATGTAAAAGGTTTAGAATTGTATCTGGCATAACAAATGGTAGTAGCTATTATATTCTTTCAACTGCTAGAGTTGGAGCAGTTACCTTTCACTCAACTTGGGAAGTTTTAAAATAATGATTTCAGATTAAAAAAAAAATTCTTTTTCATGTACCTAAGGTTTTTCTTTTTTGTTGTGGTTTGGGTAAAAGTTTACAGAGCAGAAGATCTGATGGGGGTCAATAAACAGGAGTATACTATAGACTGAGGATAGATTCAGTGGAGGCTAATCTTGCACAGATACCAGTGATACAAAATACCTGCAGTCCTTACAGAAACAATAGAAGACAGACACAGAGTAATCCCTCACAGACACTGTGGGAGAGAGAGCCAATAGATCTATCATCTCAGGACCATAGTACTGGGGGACACCAGAATCAATTGGCACAACAAAATACATAAAAGCCTTGTTCCTCATCCTACATTGGTGAGTAGCGACTAGGGTCTTAAAAGCTTTCAAGCGGCCATCTAAGATGCAGCTAATGGTCTCCTATTGTCGGAAGTGAAGAAGAGTGTAAAAAAAAAAAAGGCATTTGGAAGCAATCAGCCCTAGGACATGATGGCCCTTGGGACCAGAAGAACTAGATGGTGCCCAGCTACCAATGCCAACGACTCAGGAAAGGATCAAATCTGGAGATCCTGGGTAGAGTGGGAGGAAAACTGGAACAAAATCCAAAAACTCAATAATGACCAGAATAACTGGTTGGATGGAGTCTTGTGAGACCCCCAGTACTGTGGCCCTGGGATACATTCTGGGTCTGGAATAAAACTCACTCCCAGGGGCTGGCTGTCAGCCTAATAGTAAATAAGATATACACGCAGACCACTTAACCCAGTGTGATGTACCCACATACTCTGTGGAAATGCATCCCTTGGTGCAATCGACCATGGGGCATCAGAGGGGCAACATTTGCATGGAGGAAATGCAGGACAACAGGAATGCATAACTGTGAGGGACACGGGGGGCCGGGGGAGTTACTGGGCAGGGAGGGGAGGAAACTGGGTTAGGGTTAGGCATGGTAAATGGGTTGTTGTTATTTGCCATCGAGTCGGCCCTGACTCATAGCGACCCCTCCTTGGGTTTGGGTAGTAAAACTAAATGTACACATAATGTTGAATATAAAACAAACTCTGTAAACTTGCAACTAAAGCACAATAAAAGAAATTAAAAAAAAATAAAAAGTATTTATATCTGCAATAAATCTTACAGTTCACTTACAAGCATTATTTAAAAAAAAAGTTTATGGAGCAAATTAGTTTTCCATTCAACAATTCATACACCTTTTGTTTGTGACATTCATTGCAATCCCCACAATGTAACAGTACCCTTCCTACTTCCTCCCTATGTTTCCCTTTGCCCTTCTTTCCTATCCTTTCTTGCCTTCCTAGCTTTAACCCTGGCAAATGCCACCCTTTTGGTTTCGTATGGTTGACTGTTTTAATGAGCATGTTAATGTTGTTAATTGTTCACCTTATAAGCCTGTCTATCATTTGGCTGAACGTTGAGCCATGGGGATGGGTGACTACAGGCTGTAGTCTCGGGGCTTCCACCAGTCTCTATCAGACCAGTAAGCTTGATCTTTTTTATGATTTTGATCTATATTTTTCTCCCACTCTATCCAAGATCTCTCTTTCAAAGTGGCCAGCCGTGTTAGCCAGGCACCATCTAGTTCTGGTCTCAGAGTCATGGAGGCTGGCCATGGTTCACCTGGTCCATTAGTCTTTTAGACTAATTGTTTCTTTGTGTCTCTGGTTTTCTTCACTCTTCGTTGCTCTGGACAGAGAGAGACCAGTACTTGCACCTTACATGGTGTTTTAGTTCTCTAGTGTTGCTATAACAGAAATACCACAAGTAGATGGTTTTAGCAAACAGAAATTTATTCTTTTACAGTTTTGGAGGCGGGAAGTCTGAGTTCAGAGTGCTGGCTCTAGGAGAATACTCAGTCTCTTTGTCTCTTGTTCCTAGGAGGAACCCAGTGTAGGGACTCTGGGTTCAAAGGAGGTGCTCCACTCCTGGCTCCTCTTTCTTGATGGTTGTTGTTGTTGTTGTTATGTGCCGTCGAGTCGACCCCGACTCATAGTGACTCCTCCTTGGGTTTCTGAGGCAGTATCACTACGGAAGTAGGATTGCCCAACCTTCCTTCCGAGGAGTGGCTGGTGGGTTTGAACTGCCAGCCTTCTGGTTAGCAGTCAAGTGCCTTAGGCACTATGCTACCAGAGCTCCCTTCTTGATGGTAGTAGGTGTCATCTCCCCACCCCACCCCTCTTCTCCTTTTATTTGTTTTAAAATAAAAGGTCCTGTAGGCCACACCTCAGGGAAACACCCTTTACGTTAGATCAAGGCTGTGATGGGACAAAAGGTGTTGGAACCTACCCTTGATCTTAATCCTTTTATACCTGATAGGCTTATCACATCAGATCACATCATGGGGTATCAGTTCATATCTGCCATGTTACATCATTACATAACTTCTAACCACTGAGGATTATGGCCCAGCCAGTTTGACACAAAGACACAATTCAATCCATGACAGATGGCTGCTCACAAGCTTTTAAGACCCTAGTTGCTACTCATCAAAGTGGATCTAGAGCATTGTCTCTGTGGACAATGTTTTGCCAGTTAACTGGTGTCCTGAGACTATGGTCCTGAGCCCCTAGGCCCAGTGACTCATTCCTTCAAGGTGTTTGATTATGGCTAAGAAGTTTTGAAAACTTTGCCCTCTGTATGCTCTGCTATGTTTGTGGATGTATTATCAGTACATAGGAATGTGTATGTAGAAGAATCTTCTGTCAAATCTATATATATTTGTGTGTACCCAAGGCTTTTCTGTAAAGAATATGTTGAGTAATTTTTTTCTTTTTTTTAATGGGCCATGCATGGAAGATTGCATTTAACCAGTATTTAGAAAAGGAAAAATAAGTTTAATATTATTTAAAACTGTGACTCATATTGTATCATATCATTTAATATCATAGTTTGGGAATGAACAGGGTTAGCATTGCCAGTCAACCAAAGTCATGCCAATTTTCCTTCCTCAGGTATGATGTAGAACTCTTCCAGCGCATAGAACACTTAATTGGGAAGAAACTGCCCGTCTTTCCAACACAGGATGAAGAGGTTATGATGCTGACAGAACGTGTGACTGAAGCTCAAAGATTTGCCCGAATGGTATGCACGTTTCTTGCTTTCTTATCAACTTCTGTACAAATGATGTTAACTGTGGCAAACACATTATTATGTTAATTCTTATAATAAACTGCAGCAGCTGGGCATTATTCCAAACTTAAAGTGAGGAAACTGAGGCATAGAGATGGTAGGTGATTTGCTTTTAGACTATATAAGTAAATAGTTATGTCAGGATTTGGACTCATTGTGACCAAAGTAACCTCATTCTTAGCCACTGCTCATATATCATATGTCATACAAAAACAATTGGACTTGAGGTCAGACAGCCTACTTGTGAACTGTATGAATGTTGGTAATTTGCTTAACCTCTTCAATTTCATTTACTTACCTGTAAACTGAGAGTAATAATGGAAAAAAAAAAACAATCTAGTGCCATTGAGTTAGTTTCCACTCATAGCAACCTATAGGATAGAGTAGAACTACCCCATAAGGTTTCCAAGGCAGTGAATCTTTATGGAAGCAGACTGCCTCATCTTTCTCCCATGGAGTGGCTGGTGAGTTCAAACTACTGACCTTTTGATTAGCAGCCCAATGTTTTAACCAGAGCACCACCGGAGCTCCTTGGAAATAATATTTACTCTCCTCGGAAGGAAGGTTGGGCAGTCTACTTCCATAGAGATACCACCTCAGAAACCCAAGGAGGGGTCGCTATGAGTCAGATCTGAAAAAATCTGTTTCTTTTTGTCTTTTGGATACCTTACAAAATTAAGAGAACCAGATAGGCTAATATAAACTATATAGTTAGTTGTGCTGGTAGTAATAGTAGTGTAGTGGTGGTGAGCAGATTATAAAAGAAATTCATGGAAGTGCTGTCTGCCACCTGGAGTTCTAAGAGATTAAAAAAGTTGCCCATGGCATACTTTTTTGAGTAGCTGAGGTGCTATTTGTTTTTGTTATTTTACTTATAAAAATATTACATATATATTGGGAAAAAATTAAAAATACAGAAAGGATGAAAGTAGTAAATGAAAATAACATAAATCATCCCTCACAGAGAACCACTGATAATGTTTGGCTATTATTTTTCATTAATCATAATTAGATTTTAGCTATATAATCATGTATATGTATACATACATACATACATATGTATAGATACATGTGTATCTAGATAGATATATGATTTTTGTTCTGGTTACCTAGTGCCACTCTGACAAGAATATACCACAAATGGGATGGCTTGAACAAACAGGAGTGTATTCTCTTACAGTTTGGAGGCTTTAAGTCCGAGTTCAAACTGCCAGGCTCTAGGGGCTGGGTGAAAGCCCCTCAACCTTAGGCTTCAGCTCTGCCTCCTACTTCCAGCCCACTGAAGCTAGAGGCTTTTCTTCACTCAGGCAGCTGCTGGCTGCTGAGGCTGACAAGTGAAAAGGCACAGTCCTGATGTTACCAAACCACACGGCAGGCCATTGATTCAAGTCCACTGAAAGTCCCAGGATCGGCAGAGCATGGCAGGCTGCTGAACAACAGCAGAAGGTGTAGAGCTTCCCCACGTTGTAGGGATTGTGTGGGGGATGGGAGGGCTGGATGGAAAGCATACAACTGAGCTTCACAATTATGAATGGTCTTGTGCGCTAAGGGTTTTACACACAGAAAATATCTAGTAATTTTTGTTGAATAACAGTTTTATTAGAATGTGTCTGGATGCCAGAACCAAGGTGAAGAGTTCTAAAGAATTATGAGGATGGCTTATGTGGTGGTGATGTTTTTGTGTCAGCTTGGCTGGGCCTGGTTGAGTGGCTGGGCAGCTGGTGGTAGTTATTCCCCATGATGAGACTGGCAATCAACTCCATGGTGGGATCTACCCATGCAGGGTTCAAGCGTGCGATAAGCTAGACCATTCCCCAGAGTTTCTCCTTATATACAAGATGCAGACCACATTCCCTAGGTAGCTACTCAGCTGCTCACAGTAGATCCCCCCATGGAGTTGATTACCAGTCTCATCATGGGGAATACTATATCCAGCTGCCCAGCCATTCAATCAGGCCCAGCCAAGTTGACACAGAAAGTTAACTACCACAATTTTGTATCTAACTATATAATTAATATTTTTCTTTTTCAACAAATACAGTGCATGTGATTATTAATGACTGTAAAATACTTCATTATACATATGTAGCATGATTTACATTGATGAATGTTTATCGTTTGTCCAATTTCTCGCTATTTTAACCAGCACTCTGTTGAGCAACCTAGTATGTCCAGCCTTGCATACTTGTTTTTCCTTAGAATAAATTGCTAGAAGTAGAATTGTTGGGCCAAGGATATTTCGTTGTTATCGAGTGTAGTCAAGTCAGTTACAACTCATAGCGATCTTTTGTGACAGAGTAGAACTGCCTTTGGAGAGTTTTCATCACAGTGAGTTGAAATCCACTCATTGGCACCTAACAACAACAATAATCTTTATGGAGTCAGTTCACTAGATCTTTCTCCCACAGAGCTGCTGGGTGGGTTTGAAATGCCAACCCTTCAGTTAGCAGTCAAACATTTAACCATTTGTGCCAGGGTTCCTTGGGTCAAGCAGTATATATAACTAAGATTAGAAATTTATAGAAGATGGCAAATTAAACATCCTCTCCTGCCCCAGAAGTTGTAGTAATTCATAATATTAATGACAATATACGAATTTCCCCACACCTTGGTAATATAGGTAGTATTATTTTCTTAAATCTTTATCAATCTCTCAGTTGAAAAGGATTGCTTGTTTTAATTTTCATGTCTAATTACTAATAAGGTTAACATCTTTGTATATCGGGAGTTGGGTCTTATTATTTTGCTTATGGTAGGTATTAGGGAGTTGCTCTATGTTTGATCTTGAGGAGAGACTAGAATATATTATTACTCTCAGTGACAGTAATTCATTTTTAATGCCATCCTTTGTGTTTTCTTATAGGAGTTAAGGGAGCATGGAGAAAAGAAGAAACGCTCACGGGAGGATGTTGGGGACAATGATGATACGGAGGGTGCAATTGGTGTTAGGAACAAGGTGGCTGGAGGGAAAATGAAAAAACGGAAAGGCCGTTAGTCACTTTTGTAAAGACTTGAGTTTTGCTTTCTAGTCTGTAAAAGGGGATTGAAGAAAAGAACAAAACTTCCTCCAACAGAGTTCCTCAGACAAAAATCTGTCAGAATCATGCCCAGAATCTGCTCAGCTAATTCAGTCCTTGCTCCCCTTTCTATCTGTTGGAGTATCATTACTGCAGAGTACATTTTACAGTGGCTGATGTTCAGACTGTTCTTCAACCTTGGTCCCTTGCTCATGATAGGAGTTGGATGTGCTTTTCTGTCATTTCACACATTTTTCTATTTTTGGCTGCAAGCCAAGGACTAGGTTGATGGAGCAAGTGACCTGCAATTGTAAAGGAAAGATGATATATTTTATAGATATTCTTACATGGGTATATCTTAGTATATCTGTAAAATGGTGATATTTAAGTCTTCTCAATTTGTGCTTTATTACAGGTAATGTGAAATAATAAATTTACATATTAGTTTTAAAAGATTCAGACCTCTTGAGGACTCTGGTGTCAAAAGACTTCATAGATTTAAGTAAAATCTTGCCAGTAGGTAAGAAACTGATAGTGGCAGTTACATAATAAATTCACTGGTTGTCCTTAATTAAACATTATTTATGACTAAAAAAAATCAACAAAGTCCTGCTTAAAAGTTGTGTTTGTCTTGGGGGTGGAACAAAATCCATCGGTAAAATCGCAAAAGTCTTTCTAAATAAAATAAGTTCACTTCCCTGGTTCCTTGGGTTGAGCAGGTGGTTAGGAAGACTGGTTTATGCAGGTTCTTATTTCTAGGTGATTAGAGTAAAATCAGGATACTTCAGAAGTACAGGGTAATTCTGAGACCTGTCTCATCTGCTTGTCATCGGTGTCCATTTGCCACTGTCTTCTTTCTTTTGTCCCTATTTATTAGGTGATTGAATTCAGGTGTAGAGCTTCCCCACATTGTAGGGATTGTGTGGGGGATGGGAGGGCTGGATGGAAAGCAGACAACTTTGAGCTTCACAATTATGAATGGTCTTGTGCTCTAAGGGTTTTTACACACAGAAAATATCTAGTAATTTTTGTTGAATAACAGTTTTATTAGAATGTGTCTGGATGCCAGAACCAAGGTGAAGAGTTCCAAAGAATTATGAGGATGGCTTATGTGGTGGTGGTGTTTTTGTGTCAGCTTGGCTGGGCCTGGTTGAGTGGCTGGGCAGCTGGTGGTAGTTATTCCCCATGATGAGACTGGCAATCAACTCCATGGTGGGATCTACCACAAGCAGCTGAGTAGCTGCTTTGGGTATGTGATCTGCTTCCTGTATTTGAGGAGAAGCCTTGGGAATGATCTCTAGCCTATGGCATGCTTGGACCCTTCATGTAGCCTTGTCATTGCTCAGCAGTCTGCTCTGCTCTGCCGACCTTGGGACTTACAGTGGACTTAAGTTAATGGCCTGCCGTGTGGTGTGGTAACATTGGGACTGTGCCTTTTTACTTGTCAACCTTGGGGTTTCTCAGCCTCAGCAGCCAGCAGGTGTCTGAGTAAAGAAACGCCTCTAGCTCCAGTGGGCCAGGAGCAGGAGGCAGAGCTGGATTCCAAGGTTGAGGGGCTTTCACCCAGCCCCTAGAGCCTGGCACTTTGAACTTGGACTTAAAGCCTCCAAATTGTAAGAATAAATTCCTGTTGGGTTAAGGCCATTCCATTTGTGATCTATTTCTGCCAGAGTGGCACTAGGTAACCAGAACAGCTTATGATTGGGAATGATTTTGGGCAGAAGAGAAACTTCCCATGTACATATTAATGGTTGTGTTTCTTAGAGGCAAAGTTGTTGCTGTTTGTGTCAAGTCAGACCTGACTCATAGCGACCCCTCCTTGGGTTTCCAAGGCGGTATCACTACGGAAGTAGATTGCCCAACCTTCCTTCAGAGGAGTGGCTGGTGTGGGTTTGAACCGCCAGCCTTCTGGGTAGCAGTCAAGTGCCTTAGGCACTATGCTGCCAAAGCTCCTTAGAGGCAAAGTATCGGGTGAGAAGTGAGAAACAAATGGCAAGATTCTCTGTCAGAGTCAACTGTGACTGTTTGTGCAGAAAGATCTTCCTTAGTAGAGGAATGGGGTGCTTTCTACCACAGATGTTTCCTAAGGGGGTCCCTGTGGATAAGGCATTTGTAATTAATTGAAATTTAACACATGGCTTATTTTGGTGTTCAGTTTGGTCTGTATTTTGTTGTTGTTAATGCATTTAAGTGGAAAGAAGTGAGAAACAGAATAGAAGAAAAGAGGCAAATAGGTGATGGAGCCATGCTTTTCTGTGGCTTTTTGTTGGAGTTGTGTCTTCCATTGAGGCTAATTGTCCATTAACATTGTAATTTCCTAGTGAGACTCTCCATGGTGGTTTACGATAGCACCTCTGACTCTGAGCCAATGGATAATAGCAAATGGATGGTTGCTGTTTCAACTTGTATGGGACTTTTAGAAGCAAGCTGAACTTGAATTGGGGTATGACTTGTGGGGAAGGATAAGGAGAAGAGATTGGAATTAACCTGAAGAATATCTGAACTTTCTAAAACAGGCTGGGTATCTTTAACCTAAGGTCTGTTAACTCCTGAAGTATGTACATATTTTTTGGGGTGACTCTAAAAAGGCTAAAAATGGCTGCTTCAAAGCTTAACTCTTGCCTCTGAAGGATGTGCATAATTATGTTCTGCTGGAATGGGACACTGCCACGGACATGGTTTTAATAACCTTATTCTAGATAAGGAGCTCTGGTAGCATAGTGGATAAGGCATTTGGTTGCTAACCAGAAGGTTGGCACTTCAAACCCACTGGCTTCTCCATGGAAAGAAGATGAGGCAGTCTACTACCATAAAGATTTACAGTCTTGGAAATCAAACGGGGGTCACTGTGAGTCGGAATCAGTTTGATGGCAGTGAGTTTGGTTTTTTTGGAGAATGGGAAGATAGGACACTATGAAAGAAATGTGTCTTTAGGTATATTTGTAAGTCTAAACCATCAACCAGAGTCCCAAACAGAAGTAGATTGCATTGTGAAGGGTAGGAAGCCTCGAAATAAACGAAAGTAATCCACTAGCAAATGAGAAGGAAAGGCTGTGAGGATGTTCCGCTAATCTGGAGCTCTTCCTTGTGTTCCCTTCCCCAAGGCAAGGTTGTGGTGTCTTGCTTGCTGAAGGCCTTATTGAGATGTCTTTCTTGACTTTCTTGCTGTATTCTTTGGAGTTTAAGGTTATGTTGTGGAATAAAAGTGGTGGATAGAATTCAGTACAAAGAAAGTGAGAAAGAAAATTAAACAGTAGGATGGGCAGAAGTGTTGAAGTTTAAAATGATGTTCTCTTAAATGAAATGTAAGTTGACTTTACAGCCAAAGGTACGAAAGGCTCTAGAATTAGGAGTGGGGAAGGAGGTCTTAGCTTTCTCTAGTCCCTCCTTGGTATAATTCCTTAGTTCTGCTTGCTGATTTAAGAAGTTGAGAGCTTCAAAACAACTCTTCCTGTCAACAATTGCAAACCAACCAACTTAACTTTTAGGACTTAATAGTATCTTTTATTATAACAGTCACATAAACTCTGGCCTAGAGGCCTTTTCCCTTTATTTCTCATCTGAACTATAAGGCCATTGTATCCAGTTGAAAGAAAAGTGACTTCATGATACTGGTTAGCCTAGTTATACTCCCTCAGACTCTACAGAGCTTATAGTGAGAATGATAAAAACACGACACTACCTTCTGACGGTCTCCTAGGATCCTAGTGATAGGGTTTCCATCAGATAGGCTATTTCAGCTTTGCTTCAAGCGGGACTTGAATTCCAGAGAACCTGCAGAAATTATGTAAGGGCACTGAGAGGATCTAGACTGAGCTAGGTCATGATTATCCTCAGTCTCAAAAAAGCCAGAACTTGGCTGGCTTTAAGGCTATTTGTTCTACAAGCATTCACAGCCAGAGTGCTTTCCAGGTAGCTCCCTACTTGCAGATTTATCATGTGGCCTCCTAACTCAGAGGTTCTGCTCTAGGCCTCTTAAGATGGGAAATCTGGGACGCCCTGGAAATGAGACCAGAAAGAACTACAGACTATATAGTATTGGTTACAGAAAATGAAGAGATCCAGGTTGTCAAAAACAGCAACATATACCCCTAGGACTCGAATACAGAAATAGGGCATATACAAGAAATTCTGATGGACTGGTTATAAAGTGAAATCTAGTCTCAGGACAGATAATAAATCAGGGTTTTGAGTCACCCTTCTTTAGCTGGAATGATGAGAGATTCAAACCCTGGCACTAGAGATTCAAGGGTTACCCACACCCACATTCTTTTCCATGCCTCACCTGTCCCAGGTATGCACTAAAACTACATCTAAAAATAACTGCAGAAGCTTGAACTCTGGAAAGTAGCACTGAGCAGTCTCACCTACAATTGATAACTGCCAAGTAGAAGAGAGGAAGAAATGGACTCATGTAGAGACTGATCTTTAGGATGCAGACCTGGATGTTTGTTACATTCTTGAAGATTTTGTCTGCTAATAGCCCTCTCTACCTTTCCAAATACAAAGCCCTTTATTAACCTGCCCCTGCCATCTAGGGCCTAGAAGAAGCAGGAGCCATGGGGAATGCAACAGAGGGGGGTGGTGGGAGTATGTTAGTCAAGAGACCCTGTTGCTGTGTGACCTTGTGAAAGTTACTGAACCTCTTTGACTCTCAAATTTTCTCATTTGTAACATGGAAATAAGCATTTATCTTACCTTCCTCACAGAGGCTTGAACCAAATTTTCTTTTATCCTGTTCTCTCCCTCCCTTCCAGTGTCTGCCATATTCTAGCCAGTGCAAGGTGCTAGGAAGACAGCCATCCTCATTAGTTGCTGTAGAATTGATTTCAACTCATGGTGACCCTGTGTGTGTGTGTGTGTGTGTGTGGGGGGGGGTAGAACTGCTCTCTAGGGATTTCAAGGCTGTGAAGCTTGAGCCTGTCTCCTGAGGTGGGTTTGAACCACCAACCTTTGCCTGGTAGTAGAGCACTTAACC